AAAAGGCCGGTTAAAATCCAGTTTGTAGTTAATTTTGGACTAGACTATGTCAACTTTAATTTTGTTTTTCAAATCCACCGAGGAATAACTGAATAAGTTACCTACTATTTTTTTATTACTAAGCTTATACATATATTAATATATACGTGTTTGTGTGTTTTGCAAGTGCTTAATTTTTAATTATATTATGAAATATAAATGCATATTATACTATATAGGCCATTATCCAGTGAAGAATCAAATCATAAATATTATATGCATTAACTAATAAGGATGTGGTATTTTGGATAATATTATTTATAAGAATAATATATTTCTGTTTCTGGATCTTGGTGATATGGGTTGTGGCATGTATTATATATATATACTAGGTGATTTTCCCGTGCTCATGCACGGGTATAAATATTCAGAAAAATAAAATTTTATAATAATTGATTGATATTTAGTTTTAGTTTTGTATCAATTTATATGTATAATTTATATTAATAAATATTATATTATTCTAATTATACATATGACTTTGGATATATTATTGTCGGTTTAGTTATTTTTTGGATCAATAGTTGGTTTGGTTATCAATTTGGTATATCCGATAATATTTATTTTTCGAATTCAGCTATAATATTTTTTATTGTAAATATAATAAACTATGATTAATTTTCTTATTTTCATTTCGGTTGGTTGTTGTCTTAGATATGTAAATATATTCTTAGATATGTAAATATATTATAGTTAAATTATATAAACTTAATATATATATATATATTGTGCTTAAACTAAAATAAATAATAAGCTGAAGTGTTTGATTCAAAATTACATAAATGAATATAATGATAATATTTTGAAGTCTCATGCCTATAAATAAATTGTACAAAAGAATAAATTGTAATTGGTTAATATTTCCTTTTTCTTTTTAATATGCTTTGAGTCAACCTCTAATTTATAGGTATAAAATTAAATAGATTATTATTACTATAAAATTATATGTTCTTATTATAGTTAGATGTTTAATTTTAGATATAAATTAGATTAGTCAAGTCATTCATGTTGTGAGTATATTGAGTTAAAATTGAAGTATAATTACTTTTTATTTTAATTGTCCAATAAAATTAGTTATATTTATCGCTTAAATATACATGTATTCTCATAATATTTATTTATTTCTTATTTTAGGTAAGTCAAATCAAATTAGTTTTATTTATCGTTTAAATATCAAGTATTTTCATACTATTTATCAAATTATATGTTGATTTCTAAAAATATTAGAAAATAAAGTGTAACTGATAAATTTTGGATGTTCATGAACATATATATTTTATTATTTTGAATATATATTATATGTTATTTAAAAATATATATTAATGGGGTATATTACTATTTTGTGAACTTTCCTTTTTAATAAAGTTATATTATATACATATATTTTCGTTTTTAAATCTGTTTTAAAATTTTAGAAATATTTCCTTTTTTATATATGTTATTTGGAAAAGTAAAAAAGAAACTAAATAAAATAAATAAATAATAAACTTAAAATTTAACAATTCATTAAGGGTATCTATGTAATCAACCATCGCGAGAGTTAACGTGAGCACGACACATAAGAAACTGACTTCTCAAATAATATTATAGAGATATATATATATATATGCATTTCGTATATAATATGTAAATAAGTTGTGAATTAGCCAATCAACCATAGGTGGAGTGGTGGACCGTAAACTATATATATCATATTATCATATAGTGCTCGTTTGATTTGTAAATGTATCTACGTGTCATGTACTCATGTTTGTATGCTAATTAACGGATGTGATTGTGAAACTAATAATGATTTAAACTCAAAAAACTAATAATGATTTTAATCAAGAGATATTCAAATAACAGCTAGTTAATACTTAATACAATAAGATGATGCCGATATATGCATATTCTGGCCACAAGTCAACCCTCTGAGGCGCTGATCAATCGCACCCTTGCAAATGTTTCAGATGATTTTAAAACACTGGTGGTCGTTACTATTTATGTGCGTTTATACAGTTACTCATGACATGTCTAACAATTACAACTTCTTTTTCTCGCATGTCTAACAATTACGTACAAGTTTTTTTGTACAAAATAATACAATTACAGTACATGCAAGTGCTTGACATTAATTTAATTTTAAACGGGGTATAGACCAACTCAGACATAGTGGTAGCAACGACCAAATTAACCTCGTCTTCATGTTATCTAGGTTTGAACGTTCGGGTACCCATTTGAGTTTGCATTGAGTATTCAGATCTATAAATTCAGCTACCCATTCGAATTTAGATCAAATATATAATATGTTCGGTTATTTTCACATATCAGATCAAATTTAGATATTTTTAGTCGGATTTGGTTATTTCGGGTCAGATTCAAATAATTTAGATTTAAAAAAAACTAAATTCTTTATTCCTAAAGTTTCTTATACTTTAAGTTTTAAAATTATCTTAACTGACTTTTAAAAAATTTAATAGATTGAACAACTAAGATGTTTAGAAACAAAATTTTGAAAAAAGTTATTTTGATAATTTGAATTCAGTTTTTGTTAATGTGTGAAACAAGAATCTCGACATGAATTTTAAGTGAATAACAAATCATTTTATGCACAACTATATATTATATGATTTTGAGCCATGTACAACATCAGTATAAATATTTTGAATGAGTGAGAGAAGTAAATTAGAAATATAGGAATTAAATATGCACATGTTTGGCTATTTTCAGATATTCGTTCGGGTTCGGATACTATCCGTACGGGTTCGGATATCAATATCTCTTAAGACCATCTTTATTGCTGTGTTTTAACACAGTCCTTAAGGGGGGACTGACAATTTTGGTAAAAAACGTTGGCCAAAGGTCGCAAGATAAGAGACGTACTTGGTTCATCCTTCTTTTGCTTATGGGCCCATTAATACGTGGCGGCCCACAATTGATCCATTTTTTTAAAAATAAATCAGAAAACAAAAAAAAAAGTAAGAAACTTGAAAACGTTTTTAGCCATAATGTTGCCCTAACACCCATCTGTATTTTACTATTTTGGTTCAAATTTTTCAAATCGAATTTAGATTCAGATTTGGGTATTGGATAAAATGGCCAACCCTAAATTATTGCTATTGTTCTTGCAGCATAAAATAGACAATACTCCTAATGGTGATATAAAATAGTATATATTTGTTCATGATTTATGAATGATTTGAAATATTCATATTGTCTTCACCTAGTGGTGATATAAAAATAGTATATTAAAATGATACGTTATTGTGGTAATTCTTTTAAAAAATATATATATATACATATACATATATATATATATATATATGTATATATAGTAGCAAAATAGCATATCGATTATTTTCTACAAAATAAATATCAGAATATCAACTTTATATACTTAAGTTTTTAGAAATGGAAACTTTTGCTGAAAGGTTAGAAAGATGCCTTATTAACGCAGTTTAACCTGCTTTGAACTCAATTCAACCTGCTTCCAATCATTAATTGGACCAAACAATTTATAAACAATATGAAGAAGTTTGATGTTCTTTAATGTGCTTCAAACTTTGACTTAGAAAAATTATGGGTCAAATCTCTTACTACTAAAAAGGACGAACATGGTAATTACAAGTGTTTTTGTCTTTCCGCATTTTTGTCTGTTGCTTTCAAAATTTAAAGAGACAATGACCAACATATCTTTTCACAATTTTAATTGACCGACTTTTCTCCTTAAAACATTTGTTTGACTAACTTTTTCTTAATTAGAAGATAATCTAGGTTTTAATACTTGATTCACTTTTTAAAGTGAATATAACTAGCAAATAGTTCATTCACCATTTCTCCAATAGATCAAAAGCTTAACATTATTAAACTGATAAAAGTGATTAATAAGTATAAGTTCATTCTAGAAAGAATATCATCACTGATATGAATCTATGTTATGTGCAAAGATTGATTCCATTTATCAAACTGTATGGCCCACTATAAAGGAGTTTAACAGAGTTTTGCAATTTGATCTGCAAAAAATGTTGGTTTCTCTAGATTTTTGACGTAGGATTCTCATCTTATAAAGGATGCTTTTAATAAAACTGAATCCAATTTCAGTTTAAGAACTCGCATATTAGTTAGATAGAAATGATCAAGTAGATTCTATTCTTTTGCTTTACGTTTTGATGTCAAAAAAAGAACGGCCGACAACGAATAATGTTTAACTGCCGTCACTTTTTACCCGCGTTTTCACATTATTCTAACCAACAAAAGAATGTGAAAAAACTGGATTTTAAAATTAAATTCTTATAACCCTTTATATATTAAAGTACAAGACAGTTGAACAATCAAATTTTGACATGTCATTATTTGACAAAAAGTTTTAAAAATCTAAAATAAACCATGTTCTTTTATATTCAGCAATTTCTATACCTGCAGAAAAAAGAAGTAAGGTTCCTATTTTTTCACAAACAACCACAACACACGTGAGAGAACACATTCTATAACTCTTATGATGTCTCGATATATGTTGTTGTTTTTATCAATCTCAGTATATATTTACATAGATGAAACTCGGTTTGGTAGACATCTATATATATAAAAGAGAAGTGGAGAACATATACTCTTCTTATGAAGTCACCTCATCAATATCTAAAGTTGTGACACATATCATTTTTAATTGCAAAATTAAAGCTTAATTAAACTCTTATGTTTTTTGTTTCGTAAATCATTATTCTAAATTCATGTCTAAGAGCATCATTAACACTGGTTCTTAAGTGAACTCTTAAGCCCAAAATTCAATAAAAAAAATAAAAAAATAAAATTTGCTAAGAGGTGGGTTCAGAAAACCCTACGGGAAGAGGCGCCTCTTACGTCGTATTGTTGTCTCTCTCTCTTTCCCACAGAAAATCTCATCTTCTCTCTCTCCCTTTCCCACAGAGAATTCGTAAAAGGGTTCAAGCTGTTCGTCGTGCTGCTGATGGAAGCGATTTCGACAAATGGTAGTGATCTCTCAAAGTTATCGATTTTGAGTTCTCATAAGGTGGATTCGTGATACTCTGTTTTGGGATTTGATTACAGTGAAGAATGTGGTTTATGATAGCAATTGCTCTGCGATTGCTCTGTTTGTCTTGCACGAGTGCGGAGAGAAAAGAAAGGAAGTGAAGAGGTTTAGGTCCATTTCGAGTGACAGAATCGATAGTAAACCCATTGGGAGCTTTGAAGATGAGCCCAGATCACCTTTCGTCTTCTTCCTGTACTGTAACCATAACCTTCCTCTGTTTCTTGACATGTTTGCATTAAAAACTCATCATCTAGAGAGGATTTTAGGGAAAGCTACTGTGGGAACATGGTGGATGCTAGTAGAATATGTTTCACTGTGTGGAAGAACATGTCAGGAGAGGTATCTGTTTCTTCAGTATATATCAAAAGGCTTAAACTTTCCTTCCAAAAAAAAAAGGAATGAGAGCTCGTGAGGTCTATATGTAATCTGGCTCAGTGATTTACTAGAAGGATATGTTAGTATTAGATGTAGATGAAGTGACAATGTACATCTAGAGAAGTAGCTCTTTTCTTTAACATAAGTTTTCAGCGGTTAGATGTTCACTTTGGATCCCAAAAGCTAAGGATGATCAAGTTTCATGGAATGTGACAATACTTGTTAGATAACAGTTTTGAGTGAGTCGCAGATATAGTATGATACATTCATTGCAGTTGCTAATTTTTCTCATTTACATGAATATGTTGAATTGGGTTTTATCTTTTGGCTTATATATTGTTGTTTTTTCTCTGTTCGATCCCATGGAAAACAGAGATTCTATGGCTTTGAAATTTGCTTGTCTGCAGGATTGACATGTCCAGGAATGTGTCTCCGAGTTCATCAGCTTCATCACCAGCGAGCATGTCTTTCTTATCGAACATGGAGCTTTAGATTTTCAAAAAGTTTGAACCTCTATGGGTGAATTTGAGTCCACTTGTGTAGTTAACTTTGCGGTTTGGTGGGTTGATTGAAAGGTTAAGGTCTTTTTGATCCTGTTTCGTGTTCTAATTCTCTGTAGTTTAGGTTTTTTACTGAGAAAATGTTTTGGGTGATGCAAATCTTCGATAGTTTTTAGAGAAGTATCAACTTTATTGAATGTAATCTGTATATAATCTGTAACATGTCCAGGAACCGATGAGAATATTCTAGCCAAGGCTGCAGCTATATATATATGGTGATACTCGGATGTTGAGAAGGAACAAGAAGACTTGAGCAAGCTTTTGTCCTTTCAGGTTTGTTTGCTTCAAAATTTCTCAGTTTTTTTATCTAAAAACTTACATTAGAACTAAAAACGTTTTCTTTGGTTTTATGACTAGTCTTAAATATTCATTAGAGATCCCTCAAATGTTGGTATCGACATCAATAGCTTGAACAAGCAACGAGTCATCAGCTCACTCAGATAGGTCGTGGAGATGGACATGTATTTGACGACCACTGATGATGTTGTCCGAGCACGAGGTACACTTCTATTCTCTTTCAGTTGCTAGTTATGTAAAGCAGTGTTTAAGAGATAGCTTAAAGAACGAGAAAATCAGTAGGTTGACGGTTTGGTTAGCTGACTTGTTGAGTCCAATGTTTATCTTCTCATCAAAATGTTTCATAATTTTTGTTAAGAACCCAAAATTAAGAACCTACCATTGGAGCTCAAAAATTAAGTGTCTCTTAACCTAAACCTCTTAACCATCATTAATTATTAAAAAATCATTAAGAGTTCAAATTTGGTTCTTAGGGTTAATGATGCTCTAACCCTTTTTTTTAAGAGTTTCACACAATTACCAACATAAAAAAACTTATCTCTCGACATGAAGCAGTGACTGGGTAAATTCATAATAACATTTTGGCAACGTGATGACTCTGTGATAAATAAAATACGAACTCCATGTTTTTTGTTGTATCATGTTTCATCATATGTTACCAAAAGATCATTAGTTATGTGTATATTGATAACACTATATTTAATACCACTCTATAAAATATAATATAACTTGAGTTTGAAAATATCATTTTCACATTCAATATCTACATTACAATACTCATTTTCAACACTCAAATATATTACACTTTTAAAAATTAAAATATTTTATTTGTTGAAAATATCCATTTGGCATTCATTATTTAGACTGTAACATTCTTTTTAAACTTTTAATGTATTATAATTTCGAAATAAAGAAATATCTTTTTGTACATTACAAAATTTTCAAGAATAGTATATTCTTTATTTCGGGGAAAATAATTAAAGAATATATCATACGCAATGAAAATTAAGTGTAGAAAGAAAATAATTAATAAACATAAAAGACTATAATATAATAAAATAGAAAACAATCAGAAGCTAAAAGGTAACTTTTATCTGTTTGCGGCGGCTGTAGCCAACTAAGATAGGAGTGCTTAACAAAGTGGTTGGATAAGAGGTGATCAGATTTATCATTTCACTCGACAAAATGCTTAAAAAGTAAGAAAAACAATAATATTATGTGGGTATTTATCAACCTTTTAAGTTTTCAACAAAAAAAATTCAAAGGATATGCTGGCAAAAGCATGCCAAAAATATAATAAGCATCATTTCAAAAATATCACTATTACTCAAAATAGATAATATGTAAAAGTATATAGTTGTTATTTGTAGAATTTGAAATATATGTGTAATTGTAATATTTTGTATTATAATTCTAAGCTTTTCCTGTTATAAAAAACATCAAATCTTAAATATTGAAAATAGAGATTACTTTCAATTTAAAGTAAAATTATCATTTTAAAATATTTGATAAAATTGATAATATATTGTATAATTTTTTTAATTACTAACCCGCCCGTAGGGCTGGTCAAACCCTAATTTACTATATATCAAGGAGATGGATTCAGGTCTTTGTGAAAAATAAATTGGTAAAAATATTATCTATATAGAATTAGAAAAATAAAAGTGTTATGAATTTCTATTGAAAAATATGTGAAGCTATGTGGAAAGAGCATATACCAATTTATAGACAAAGTATGTTTGTATGTATCTATATTATTAAAACTGAAGTACTTTTTGGTATTGTTTGGAATTAAGGATAGTAGGATAAATGAGAATTGTTTGAAAACAAGGATAAAAAATTAAGTGCTTCATTTTATTTGCATATTTAGCCATTGTATTTACAATAAATTAAATTATTTCCTTTGTATTTATTTTTATTTACAGATTCTGCCATAACATTTAAAATTAATTTAAATCAATTAATTACAATAGTTTTTCTTTCTTTGTGGTGATAATAAAATACAAACTGAAATATATAGTATATATTATATAAAATAATTTTAAATATAGTATTATATTATTAAATTTAGTCAAATATAAAATTTTGAGAGTTCAATCTTTAAGAAAACAAAATATCATAAATTAATGATAATTCATAAAAAAATCTAATGCAAGAAAATAATTTTTAGTATGTTGTTTCATTTTAAAATAGTATCAAACAAAAAAAAACATATTAATATATGAATAGTACAATTACATCAAATTGTATCATGTTATAAAATTTATAATATAATATTATGTATAAATAAAAAAATATTATTAAACATGTATACTGTAAAGTAATATATTCTACTCTATATGTAAATTACAAAACATAAATTGTTTTTTTTTTATTTATAAAATCAGCGGTTTATTAGTTTACATTGTACATAAATTAAATCAAACACCTGCACTGGGGTGCAGATCAAGTTCTAGTATATTATTATGCAGTGTGGTAACATTACTTATATATCAATGAAAATTTTGGAAAACAATGAAATTGAACAGTGCACAAGCATGGGAAATATACTAGTATAACAAATAAATGGTGAGTATTGGACAGTTAAACAAAAATAGTCCACACAATCCACACAAGAATCAAAGTAGTACTGTGTTGATGACGGCTGCAGCACCACATACCTTATTCTCATCATATATTAGTAAGAGTTTTTTTCACTGAGAGGCAGTTTACAGTTTTTAATTACAGTTAGAGGCAATTCCCGCTACCGAGACACTTTATGTGTGAAATGACCGAACTTCTCCTCCACTTTTTGTGACCGCACGGGTGGTGTTTAGTTAGGGTTATTTGTTTAGTTAGAATTTTAAATTTTTGAAATTAAAATAATTTAATATGAAACTAACCTCGGTTTGTTTTAACCACGGTTAAGATCCAGAAGTTTTATGGTGAAAAGTCGAGAGTTGTATTTTCGTTTACTCTTATTTTGTAGAAAACTTTAGGCACGAGAGAGACAGAGAGTTTGTTCTTACTGAGAGATATACGATTGAGTACCCGAGTGAAGAAGACGATGTCCAGACGCCGGAGTCGCCGTGGAAAAGAGGCCGCCGCCGGTGAGTTTTCGAAATTTGAAACAGTTTTTTTTTCAGATCTGTAAGTCTAAAACGATATAATATCGTTATCTGTGAATTTATTTGTTATCAGAGGCGACAGAGGTGGAGGATGTGAAAGAGCGTTTACCGGAACGACTATTTGCTACTGACCGGTTTCCCAGTGAGAGAGTTAATATGTATTCGAAGATAGATTATCTTTTGGCTGTTAGAGACGCTTTGAAGGGCACGGCGGAGATGGAAAGACTACTGAGGTCTTGTTTTGGAGGACTTTTTAATCTCCCCACAAGAAGGCTATTGATGGGTAGAGTTGTCCATGGGATGCTAACGAGACAGGTTGTGACGAAGAAGAAGTACGAGATGTGGTCGGCCTTCGCTGGGAACCCCCTTCGTTTTTTGTTGATGGAGTTCGGGGAAGTAACTGGTTTGCCTTGTGGGTCGTTTGAAGATGGATACTGTATTGACTACGAGGTACCTGAGAAGGATGAAAACTATGAGTACTGGGATAAGCTTATCGGGGAAGAGAGGGACGTAACAATAGAAGGGCTTGTATCAAAGGTGTTGCATGAGAAGGATATGCCTGGGTGGAGGAGGTTGAGATTGTGTCTGATTATTATTGTTGATGGTGTTTTGTTGCCGACGTCACAAAAACAGATTCCAAGGTTGAAGAATGTTAATCTAGTAGAGAACTTGAAGAAGTTCTTCGCTTTTCAATGGGACAGAGAGTCGTTTCTTTTGACCCTCAGAACGATGATACCTGGGCCGAAGCTTTAGGGGAAGTGTGATGACCCTACAGGAGATTTGTGTAAGAAACTTAGGCAGAAGACGATGAGGGTAATTGGTTTCCCTTTGGCGCTGCAGTTGTTAGCATTTGAGGCCATTCCACAGCTTCTTGAAAGGGCCGGTGGTAATGATAGCATAACTTTGCTTACGTACCCGGGTAGTGCATTGCCACAACATGCTGGTTTGACGGCAGAAGACGTACGGAGAGCTGAGCACGCTGTAGGGGTGAGTGACCAAAATCTTCTTTAAGTGTACATGTGTACACATTCTTAAGGGGTTGCGTACAGCTGGACTGTTTTTGTCGTGTACACTGTTAACTTTTTTTTTACATTTATAGTGTTTTAAAAATGTTTTTTAACCTGTTGGCCACGAAATTTGCAGCTTGTGGTGAAGCCGATGCTAGAGATCAGTGGTGACAAACCAGAGAGATGGGCATTATTTGATGATGAAATGTATGACAAGAAAGTAGAGTACATGGTAGGATTAATTGAAGAAGGTCATTCGTTTAGCAAGGCACACTGGGGTGGTGGTGATGCGGGGGATAAGCTGTATGTATATTCTGAAACAATGAAGGTGAAAAAGAGGAAAGCTGTAATTGAGCCCACGGGACCTATTCTCAAACAGAGGCAAATGAGCTCCTATTACAACCGACAGATTACTGTTGATGCCGAGAAATTTGCGAAGATGGAGGTGAAAATAGATGAGTATGGCAAAGAAATTGGTCGACTACGAGAGTTGTGTGATAAACATGAGCGACGATGGAAGAAAGGGAAAATGTTGAAGAAAGGGTGTAATGGGGCAAAGTGGAGAAGCGGAACAAAACTGAGGATGAAAGTGAGGTCCAAAGAGACACCGGTTGGTGTAGATGCAAAAACGGTTCCCGGTAAAGATGAAGAAATTATTTCGGAGGAAGAGCCTACTTTGCTAGTACGGATGAGACATGGTAGTAGCTCAGTTGTAGGTGGTGAGGAGAGGGAAATGTCTGGTGACGGTCTTGACGAAAGGGTGAGTTTTTCTCGAGAAATGTGGATTTCTTTTTTTTACATGAATTTAATGTGTCTGACTAATGATTATTTGGTCAGGAAATTGGTGAATTGGGTGTCCTGGTGAAGGCAGTAGTGGCTGACAATGAGGTATGTGACATTACTGTTGTGTGTAGTTGGTTTGAAATGTTTGTGCAGTTGACGCAGAGATTGTCAATTTGGAATTTACAGATAGACAATGTGGAAAAAGATGGAACAGGAAATATGAATGAAGGAGACAGTGTTCAGGATGAGGGATTGTATGAGAATGAGGTATGTTCTGTACAATAGTCTGACTCATTTGAAAATTTCAGGGATAAAATTAGGTAGTTGATGACGATATTATTTTTACAAATGTGCAGATAGATAATGGGGACGCAGAGGGTGGAAGAGGAAAAATGAGCAGTGATGTTGTGGAGGAGAATGAGTTGGAGGAAACTGTAAGTTTAACTAATTATATTTGGTAAGTTGTAGAAAACGATTGATTTAAGAGTACTAACTAATTCTAATGAACTAGGTGAATGTAACCAATATGGGTGAGAGAAATGTTATTTCTGAGGTGGATGCTGAAGGTAGTGAACATGGAAGTGAGAATGGACAAAATTATAGGATGACGGGTGATGCGGGAGTTTCAACAGAGCAAGAATTGTCCACAGATAGACGTATGGTGGTAAGTGTAACTTACAATTACAGTTGTAAATGGGAAGGTTGTGTTTGAATTGAGTTGAAATTGTAGGTGTACAAGGGGCCAACAGACGCCTTTAGAGATTATGTAGAAGGTGAAATAGGCAAAAATGGGCTGGTACGTTTAACGTAACAAGTGTACATGTGTACATCCATTTCGGTGTACAATAGATTGTACTGAAGTTAAAGTGTACAAGTGTACAACGTTAACTGAAGTTTATTTAATTTGGTAGGGAAATGATGAGATTGTCGAAGGTGAAGGGGACAAATTGGTGGCAAATGATGTGAGGAGTTATTAGTTATTTTTGGCTGTTTAAAAAATGATTCGTTGCTGGTTTTGATTGATGGTGTCATTGTAGACTGGAGAATCGATGAAGGATGATGATGCGGGTGAGCAGATGGGGTCAAAAGAGGAGAATGAAAACGAAAGGTTAGGAGACAGACCGGAAGTGGAAGTAGAAGATGTTAGTGATTCGTTGGCGCCTAGTCAAGTGAAACATAGACCAGGTGAAGAGGATGAGCAGTTGGCTGCGTTGCTGTTGGCGAAGGATCAATATACTTTCCCAGACATGGTGCCTTTTTACGAAGACTGTGATTACCCATTTTTTGAGAAAGTTCTAACCGCAAACCCGTCAGTGTGAGTTTTATGAGAAACTATTTTTATTTTTCTAGAAAGAGTAAAGGAAACTGTATGTACTAATGATATGTTGGGTGTCAGGTTGCATTTAAATGCAAGGGGGAATGATCTAGATAACAAGTTTTTCATTGAGCTTGCCAAACCGCAGCAATGGGTGACTAGTACGGTATGTGTATTTTGTTTTTGTATTTTTTAGGGTTTTTTTTATTGGTAGATTATGATTGGATTTGGTTATTGTTTACACAGCATATGGCAGTTTTGATGGAGTACATTGAGTTCCTGCATGGTGATGATGCTTTGCGGCAGAGGGCTATGTTTGTGGCACCGTGGTTTACAGCACACGTGCAAGGGAAAAATTGCAGAGCTTTCAAGGCGGCAAAGTCTAAAAGTAGTGTCGTGGTTAATGCACGTGTTACTAAGAATGTCACTACAGAGAGAAAGCGATGGGGTGAGGATATTGACACGCTATACGCGCCAATGATTTGGGAAGGGTATCACTGGGTTGGCCTGCGTATTAGGTTGTCTGATAGGTCTGTTCTGGTGATGGATCCGAATCCAGGGAAGAGTGACAAAGAAGTGGATGTTTTGATGGCTCCATTGGCCCGGATGTTGTCTTACATAGCTAGGAAAGTTTGTCCTGCAGCTGCAGTGGGGGAGGGTGGGTTAGCACCATTTGTAGTGGAGAGGTTAGGTGGTGTATACCAAAATGTGCGAAGCGGGGATTGCGGACCAGTAGCAGTGAAGTTTATGGAGATGCATGCAACAGGGAACCAGAACCCGACGATGGCAGGACTTACAGATGAGTTGGTGGACAATTTCAGGAAACAATATGCGATGGAAATCTACCGTAGATGGGTAGTACCTTTATATTTGGGATGATGCAGGGTTGGGATATGTTGTGTTGGGATATGTAAAAAAAGTCTATGTTTTATGAAAACTCATGTTTTATAATGTATGTTGGATGTTGGCATGTAGACCTCTTTTGGATATATTTTGAATGATGGCATTTGCTCATGAATTATGTCTGTTATGTGATTAATTTTGGTTAATGGTGAAATGTGAATGAAACGAACGTGTACATTGTAAGGGGGAGTGTACAAAGGGAGTGTGATTGTACATGTGTACAAGAGTAAACCAATGTAGGGGGGTGTCATTGTACTTGTGTACAATTGAAAAGAAAATTGTAACTTCATAGGATTGATATTGGGATTTTATAGAACTTAATATTTTATATAATTGAACATTTATCTTACATAGGAATGATATTTGGATATTAGAAGAAGGCATACATGTTCAATTTACACAGTAGAGTGGGAGGACATAAGTTACATATGAAATATGGATATTGCAACCAAGGTGACATAAGCTACATATTTTTTATTGGGAGAGGTGGAAGATGTCTCGCTGAGAATAACCCTTTCCATAGAACCAAAGCATGTCGTAAGTTTGAATGAAAGCTTCTTCAGTGTCATTTGCTTTGATAACATCTTAAGTGTTGTCATTGGTTGTTTGTTGAGAAGTAAAATGTTGAATGGCATCCAAAGTGTTACGCAGTTGGGAAACATTGTTTTGAAGTTCAACGTGTTTAGCACTAATGTGTAAGATCTCATCTATGACGGCTTCATCTACCCATTTGAAAAGATGACTTTCGAATGGTCTCTGCAATATTGACCAAGAAGATTTTGCTAGACATATAGAATTGGCTTTAGAAGACAAGAGAGCAATGTAGAGGTGAAAGAGGTACCTGAATTGCAACTACACACCTGTAAAACCTCCTAAACGGATTCTTCCTTGTCCTGGAGATGATGATGTCGACCTTGTTACCACACCAACATTGTGTAGGAACACCTGCCATATATCTATATGGAGAGAAGGACCCAACTTTATCTGGTATAGAATGTGGATAAGTAAGAGAAGTTTTTGTTTGGTAGAGGGAGGATGGTGAGTGCAGAAAATGGAAACCCTAATCCCCAATTATCGGTGCCTTTTAAGAAGGGAACCAGTTTGTTTTGGGCCGTTTTTATGTAAATGGGCTTTACTGTACAAAAACGTTGGTGAGTACTTGTCACGTTGAAGCGTATAGGTTGGTATTATATGTACATGTGTACACTGTAAATTCGTACGAGATTGCAAAATGATAGGTTCTGGTTTTAAGAGTTCGAGAGTCCTAGAATTTTTTGGTAACAACACAAGAAATCAAACAGCCAATGCATGTTTTTATATAGTTTTTACATGCCAAGAAGACAGAAAGGATCTGCCAAAACCAACAAAAAGGATCTGCAAAAAAAAAAACTGTTTTTAAGGTGAAAGCTCTATCCAAAAGAGCATGTCTGTGGATATAGAATTCACCAGACTATCAGATGGGGACAGTGCAGTTGGTCCTGTTGTGACCGGAGGTTCCACAACGACCACACTTGTTGAGTTTCGTTTTCTTGGGTACCTGGAAAAAAACCAGCAAAATATATTTGAATATGGTAGGGGAATGTTAAACAGACCTTTGATAGCTTATAAAAATTAAAAACGTGAACGAAAATATGTTAGGAATATTATCCTGACCTGGATTTCACCGGTGGAAGGGATACACTTGTCCTTAGGACGCCCAGAAGGATGACGGGTATTGGGAGGCAACAAGTTAAGAGTGGAAATTGCAGGGGAAATTGAGATCTCACCAAAGGGAGCCTCCGGGTAAATAACACCAGCGTATGTGTCTCTCCATGTCTGAGTTCTGTAGAAATCCCCGACAAGTTGGACATGTGGGAGACCTATAGAATCAGCAACAAGAAGTGCATGACCGCATGGAATTTTCAGTTTCTGGAAGACTTGGCAGGAGCATACTTTGTTGTCCAAGCCAACTGTGTAAGAATAACCAAAAACCCCTTTCACTTGATAGCTCCAGTCAGTAATATTAGAGATTTTACTGCCTTTTGTGAGCTTCATGTGTGTGTCCATAACGAGAGCGACCTCAGGTGTGACATGACCATGGTGTTTGGCAGATTTGGTACGACGAGCAGAAAACCAACGAGTCAACATCCGTTGAATGAACATGAATAACTCAACAATGGGGGAAGGCCTGGATTTGCTCAATGCATTGTTGAGTTGCCCAGTAACATTGCTTGTGAGGAGGTTGTAACGGTTCCCAGGGAAGTATGTCCTAGCCCATTTGGCCGTACCGATGTCTTCAAGGTATTTTGCACAAGCAGCATTAGATTGCCTGATTTTTCCAAAGTTATCATCAAAATCTTTGCGTTTAAAGGAAAATGCAGCAGCGCATACCAGTTTTGCCAAGCCTTTACTCTTAAAACGGGAAACAACATTCCTCATGATATGAACGATACATGCACCATGATGCGCTTTAGGAAAGATAATTTTCTTTGCCTTTAGGAGGGAGTTATGACGATCTGAGATGATAGTAAGAGAGTTGGAGTCGGCAATGATCTTTTCAAGCTTAGTAAGAAACCACAACCAAGACGCATCAGTCTCTCCGTCAACAACAGCAAAGGCAAGAGGGAAAACCTGGAAATTGGCATCTTGGCCGCTAGCAGTGAGGAGGACACCTTTATATTTTCCAGACAGATGGGTGCCATCAATAACGAGAACATGACGGAGACGACGGAAGCCTTGTATGTAAGCACCAAAAGATAGGAAACCATAGAGTAATTGGGATTCACCAAATTCATCTAGCTCAGTTTCAATGTATGTAACGGTGTCGGGGTTGGTTTGTTTCAGCCTCTCAAAGTATGCAGCAAGGTTCCGGTAAGAATCCTCTGCTTTACCAACAGTGTCATCTACAGCTTGCTCTTTTGCCCTATGGCATTTCATGTATGAAGCATCGATGTGCAGGTCCTCCAGTACAAGCTGCTGCAACTGAGCAGTTTTAGGACCCTCGTTCGGTTCACCATAACGAGAACGATAAACATGAGCAATGACTCTCGATGTTGCCCTGCTCTTGTAATGGTCACGCTGGTCCAAAGGGCAAGTGTGGGTAAGGTGGGCCTTCTTGATTGTGTAATAACCACAGGTCGTGAGTTCTTTGGCGAATATGCGCCAATCACAACGTGTATCATGGCAACTAAGAACAAAAGAGTGCCTGGTAGTTCGGGTTTGTCTGAAATGGAAGCGCTTCTTGATTGCATAGATTGCCAGGCCAATTTGAAAGTCTTGCTTGGTTGCATATAGTTTGCCAATGGTTGGTTCCACGTCATTATCATCTAAGTTGAGATCTGGAACATCATCAGCTTGGTAAGCTAGGTCATCAAAGAGAGGGGGGATATCAAACTCTTCATCGCTGATTTCGGCTAGAGGTCTAGTCTCCCGTGGTGGAGGAGTAGCAGGGCGAGGGGGGTGAGTAGCACCTTCCATTGAGGGTGGTGTACGAGAAGAAGTGTGTCTGCCCGTTGGGGTTGGTGTACGCGTGTACGATGGCGTGGAATGTACACCACGAGGTAAGGTATTCGTGGACGCGGATCCAATGTGTACGCGTGGACATTCTCGCTGGTGTACACCTAAGAAATCTAAGTCTTTCTTCTAATCGGTATCATCTTCGGCAGATAAACGATTAGTGTGATCAAAGACACCGCCTGTATTGCACTGGTAAGTTTCAGGAGCTGTTTTGGGGACATTAATACCGGCCATGATCTCGGCTGCATCTGAACCACAGTGTGTTTCCTCTAACAAAGGATCCCAAAAATCGTGATCGTAACCACGAGCTGGTACAGCAATTTCTGGAGGTTGTTCAGTTTCAGATAACGACTCTTCTTCATCCTCCAAATGCCAACTATCTGAAATGTTGTCGGGATCCTCTCTGAACATTTCTTCTAGAATTTCATCCCCACATGAAATAGTTTGTCTTCAATGGAGACTCTGTGTGGTTTGGTAGGTTCGGTAGAACGAGGAGATGTCCCAGGAGGATGTCGTGAGCTGTTAGCAAGAGGAGGGAAAAGGGGCATGTAGTTCATCTTCATCAAACAGTGAAAAGCTAGGGATTTTGGAGGAAGCGGTTGAAGG